GGCTGGGCCTGACCCAAATAACCTTACTGTGCCAATTCATACCGATTTTGGTTAGAAAGGTGGCAGCGCCAAACTGGCGTCACGCTGAACGAGTGCTATCTTTGTGATCAGGACATCGAATTGCCTCCATGGGCATCATTTCAGCAAAAAAAATTTTACTTTCTAGGGTAGTAATAGTCGAATACTGTCGCCGACACCGATCCATTCTCGTGTGCAACTGCGTTCGCGTCTATACCAGTGGGCGCTGTAGCAGTTGTAGCGCGTCGACGCGCGTTACAGCGCTCGATGCGCGTCATCGCAATTTTGAACGCCGCGTTATATAGTTTAATTCACACTTCGTCTTGAGAAACTCGAAAATTGATGTATTGCCTTTATCTTCTTCATGTGCAAGGGTCCTAAGAACAGCCACGCAGAAGCGTCTCTGCGTCCTTCCCCTACCAAAGGCTCGAGCTTAGGACGCAGATAACCGGAGTTGTAGCAGGGTGCCCTCGCGAAGCGTACAGTTTCTATGCAACTCTGGTCGTCTGGGCTGTGAACTTAGCGCTGGTTAGGGGAAGAAAAATACACAGGGCAATTATCTGGAAACTTCAACAGGGGGTCGTATTTTGTCTGGGAGAAGATTTTTTTCGGAGCTGTTTTTTCTTCTTCACGATTCACGAACGTTATAGGGGGGGGGTGGGTCGTATTTTAGTTTGTGGTCTTCCGACAGTGATTGTTGACTTCCCCCACCGCTCGCCAGCAAAGTTTTTGGGAAGTCCTGGAAAAAGTGGTAGGAGCTGGGAAAATCTTAGGATGTGGTATGTAAGATAGGTGAGGTGGGAGGATAGGGAAAGGAGAGGTCGCCACCCTCTAGGCGCGAGGTCGTACGGACCCGTCCAAAACCGAAAACCAGTATGTGAACACGCAGGCGCTGCTGCGTGGCCCACCTCAACTACTTAGCACGATTTGAAGACTACTGAATGAATGAAAGCCTACCTATAAGTGAAAAATTCAGATCGCGAACGTGACTTCACAATGATTCTCAAAGCTTGAAATGGTAGAACTTACTAATTGTCGACTTTTTGAGGTAGAGTCTCGGAAACAAGCGGTAAGGTGGACAAGGCTTCTGTGACCCATTTGATTTCACGCCAGAGTGCTGTGTCGGGTCAGCCAGCTAGAAACGCTGGTTTGCACGCAGTGTCTCTTCTCCGATGTCCTGGAGCGCAATCGAGACTAGTATTGTCCACTTTACTTCTTGTGCGCCTCTGAAAATGATTGTTTAGCCAAGTTTCACGTTGACAGCCACCCATCTGATTTCCTATTATCGATGCTTTGGTGGGGGTGGAGTGTCTCCACCCCTCGCATCTCGAAAAAGAAAGGAACCAGCTCATTCCCCTACTTCACAAGGCAGCCGGCAGAAGACTGTCCAGGATGCTCTAATGCAGGTACTTCCAGGGAACCCAACGAGATTGTTCTGCCAGATGAAGTCAATATTGCAGCTCATGGTGCCATCTCATTCAACAGCTAGTCTTCAAGATATTCTAAAATTTGACGGAACGGACCCCAAACTACTCGATCAAGAATTTCGTATAAAAGGAAGTCAACTGCTGAAACTATTTCGCTTCTGCCCATCTTGTGGGTCTAAAATATCTGACTCGACAGGATGTGTGAGTCTGAGAGCTGCTGGAATGACCCCTATTGTGCATTACATCTGCACAGCATGTTCCCCGTTCGAGAAATGTTTCCAAGGGCAGGAAGAAGCTCATTCAAGTGAGATGTCCCTAGGAAGCAATTTGGAGGCTGTTATGACTGCAATAGAAACCGAACTCTCATCTGCGTGTTCTGAAGATTTGTTTCCAGAATTCGCAACGGTTGGATGAAAAAGTTACCGCCGACAGAGCGTTGCACGACTCTAGTATTGGTGAAGTGATCGATTCTAGTCAGGAAAAAAGGTTTGTTTTATTGTTGCATTGGTAGTACACCACAATGAGGACCACTGATCGTCAGCTGGACGGTCGGAGTGGTTCATCAAAATTATCTTTTTTTTTTGCTTAAAACCCTACAGTAAGGCCTATCTACAAGACTTCTCCTGTAGTGAGAGGCGCCCGTAAACTTGCTTTTGGCTATTGGGTGACCCTTTATGCAGATCTATTGGGTTGGGATGGCCCATAAAACACCTTTTTTTCCTTGCATGAAATTCTGTAGGAATGGAGAAGTGTTGCTTGAACGTATTTTAGACCGTATGATAGATAATGCTCCTTGGAGCTCATGAAAGGGCTCGTACCGGGAAAAAGAATGCGGGGGGTACTTATCAAGAATTTCCCACAAAGTTGCCCTAACGGGGAGAATGTGCGAGTGGCAAGATGATGCAATATTATTCTGTTTTAATATGCGCTCCCTCCCCTACATGGCGCTCTATGTGACCTCACATCCAGATCTGACCTCGAAGTCTCCTTCCTTTGCAAAGCCCATCCCCGCTCTAGGTTGGAGGAAACCACCCAAAAAATAATTCAAACAAACTAAACATTCACCACCGTGAATTCTGGCCCTTGCCATATGCAATGTGAAGGGGTTCACAGCTACAGCAGCGGGCCATTTTTCTCTCCGCTCAACAACGGCGGATGCTGGAGTGGTAGTGTACCCCTGCGCCGTTTCTTTTGGATACCGAGCTGGGGATGGCCGGCCACACGCCTAACCGTACTTAAACGCACTTCTTGCTGCGCCCTCTCGCGTCTGATTGTCCTTACTTTGTTGGTTCGCCGTGGGATTGCGGAATCGACACAATTGCTAAAACTTGATGGTGGCATGGGCGGGGTCCCAAATGGCACCCGGCCATCACTCTTTTCAGCTTATATTCGCGCGCTTTTGTACAGCTGCCAACCCGTTCTTGTCGCACATGGTAAGGACCGTCAACGGGACTGACTGGACCGCTTGCTTCAAAAATAGTCACTCAACCGGAAGATCAGGTAGATGTGAATCGATCGACTACGTTCACTAGCGAGTCGTGCGTTCTACCGATTCACGGGCCCTCCGCACTTCAAAGTATGAACGCGACTTTTGGCGTTGCTAGAATAACTGTTCTACGATAAACGCGTTGCAGTTCTCAGCACCGAGGTGAGCAAACCAGACGCTAGGCCTTTCGCTGGACGCAACTGCACCACTTGCGTCCAGCGAAAGGCCTAGCCTTGAGCTAGTGAATAACAACGCCAAAGATATGGTGGGGCCTTGCTTCGCCGCACCATATCTTTGGCGTTGCCATTCACTGTTCTTTGAGAATGCTCGCTACTCCTTGCCATTCACTGTTCTTGAGAATGCTCGGCTACTCCTACCTCAAAAAGCGATAAATTTATTTATTTTTTCTGTAGCCATGTTAAATAACACGTGGAAAATCATGAGAATCGCAATTTCGGGTGAAGCTAGAGACAAAAAATTATACTAACGCACCAATACAAATCTTCAAGGTTACATGTTTTTGCGGAAAACTTTTGCTCGTAAAAGGTTGTTAAAACATTAGATTGTTCCTCACACTCTGCCTCAGGGGTTACTTGGTGAACTGGTTTTCTGAGAGTACCCCCTGAGCATTAGCTCTTGTTACAGGTGCAAAAAGGAAACAAACTCCGATTCGTCGTTGCTGCAATCAACTTCCGACAACAAAGATGGTCTGGATTGCAGTGATGTAAACGATAACGCTGTTTGCAACCCTTCCCAAAACGTGACACTATAGTTCATCAACGCCTGAGGTAAAGATGTTACGAGTTACTGGTTCCTGGACAGCCATGTGAAAAAAAAACTCACTTTGCAGAGAAAGACGACGATGAAGCAATGGGAGCCCGAAAGGAACCCAACTGTACGTGAAATTAGTGGATTACAGTCAATAGTGCAGTGAAACAGGAATAGCGCTGATCTGCAAAACACTGAATAAAGCCTACTAGAGGTTTTTTATTGGAACGTTTTCAATAGTCAATTAGGCAGCCTTCAGACTTCGTGATGACGCGCAACGAAGCGTTGGAATGCGCTGTAACGCGCGTCATCGCGAAGTCTGAACGCTTCCTTAGCTGCGCACAGTTTATTGTGTTCATTCATCTCTCATATCGAAGGTTGTATTTCGCAGTCGATTCCGCTTATGTTCACCCCAGTTTTTGCATTTTAAAATTATTCTTTTCCAAATATGGTTGCACGAATGTGATTTAATTTTTCTTTGAGCAGTGAAGAATCCTGTCCATCTTTCCATGACAGTCTATGTTTTTTTTTGTTGCGAAATAAACGGGTTCATGAACAAATACGTGCCGGTTTGAATGTGGGCCTGTGGCGCGGGCGGCCGCCAAGCGGCTTTCGTGTCGATTTCGAGGGAACTCGTGCATTTAATGCGGTCGAGGTGACAGGGTGTTCGACCGTGCTGATAGACAAACGTTGTAACCATTCGTGCGGTGTTATACAGCCACGATTCCTCCGAACCATAGGGCTTGTGCTGGAGAATCTGATCTGGCTGCGCTCTAGTCCGTGCCTCCGTCAGACGTCCTATCGTTCGCAGGAATCATGACTGTGCACATCACCAATTTTTCTGAACTCTTTTTCTCTCTGTTTTTATGAAAATTGTCAGGAGTAAGCTGACACTATCTATTCAACCTCCGCACGCACTGCATTGAAGAAACTCTGATTCATGTAATATAAGAGAATTCCTGAGCTTCAATGTCTTGTGTAGACAATGTACCGACCCTCCGTCTCGTAGGAAGCCGGTCAGTTATTTGTTGATTGTTTCCCCTTTGAATTTCTTGCCTATGTTTGTAAAGTTAGATGATGTTGGTGTAGGCTTTGAATGTGATGATTGTAGACCTGAAGAAGGGCTTAAAGCCCGAAACGTCGTCTATGAAATAAACGACTGGGACGAGTTTCATTTTATCAATCACAAAGAAGGAACTCTGATTCGTTAAAGTGGACCTCACGCTCAACCAATTCTTAGGCGTCCTTTCTTGTTCAGGTAGTCTGACCCGCATTCTCCAAGATTGCCACCATTATAAACGAACCATCGCTTTGCTGACATAACAAGGCTCGCATTTTTCTCTTCGTTCTCCCTGACAGGCTCACTTAGCGATTACAGTTTTGCAATTGAACACGCTATCCATAACATGCAATCGCGCGGTATTTCTTCTAAGGCAGTTGGCACTAAGTCGCTAAGACGAGTAAGACTCGATACGGCTGGCAGAAGGGAATTCCGCGCACTTGAGGAGGGTGCTGCGTAATGTCTTCCCCAGGGAAGCCCTAAAAGGCCCTATCGGGCTGCAGCAGACCACGGCCCTATCGCGCCCGCCCGCCCTTAAAGGACGGCCGTGCCTGATGCTCTGCTTCATTTGCGAAGTAAATATGAAACGAAGGGAATTGACATGAAGCGGCCGCAGTGCTGCATGGATATATGAGTACATACGTGCAGCCGTATCTACCGTAGCGGTTATTGGCAAGATGCCTACAGGGAAAATCGTCCAAAATTGCTTTTTGAGTCATTACTAGTTGTTTTACATTTTTTCTGAGTCATTACTAGGTATTTTAGACCGAATGCCAAATTATCGTGCCATATGCCTTCAAAGGAGGCGGAGGTGGTGTAGTGACTGGCGCGCTTACCACTCGCGCGGCGCCGGGTTCAAATCCCGGGTCGACTCCCGCCCAGGCCAACCAAGCCTTCTACCCTCCGGGGACGGTAAATTGGTACCAGATTCGTCTGGGAGGATAAAACACTGACTTGTACATCGGCTGGCCACCGCAAGTCATTGTATAGGCCACATCGCATTCAATAAGCCACTACGATTCTGAATGGAAGTAGAATGCGTGCCGCATCCCACAAAGGGATTGATCAACGGCGAAGACTTTATCCTTTTTTATCCTTTATGCCTTTAAAGGCAGTTGGCACGATAAATCCCCCAAGGCGACTAGGATCAATACTCCTGGCAGGATAGAATTCCGCGACCCTGGGCAGGCGCTGCATAGCGGTTTCCCCGAGGAAGGTGCCCTTATAAGGGCCCTATCAAGCCACAACTTTACGTCCCAAACGCCCGCCCGCCCACAAATGGACGACCGTTCCTGACGCTCGTATTCATTCATTTGCTAAGCAAATTATGAAGCGAAGGGATTGGTATGAAGCGGCCGTGATGCTGCATGCATACATGGGTACACATATGCAGCCGTATCTTCGGTAGCAGGGCACAGCATTCGATGGGGATTTTGGTCGAGCCTGTACGACCCCCCCTTTTTTTGGGGGTTCGGTACGACCCCCCCTTTTTTTGCCGTTCGGTTTTTTTCGCCTTAAATGAAACTATGAAACGCCCACTATGAAATTCTACTTGTATGAAGGTGCCCATACTAAATGGACGACTTGAAGTCATGACATAATAGAACAATACAGAGATGATTGCAAACAAAAACGGTACAATCGTATTATGAGAAACTCGTATGATGAACTTCTTCGATGGCCGTTTTGAAACACACATGGTAATAATAACGATGTATCGCGATTAAATTCAATGAGCATTCGTTAACCTGAGGTGGACTCCCTCTCTGGGAGCGGCCATCAGCGACCACAGTGTTAACAACGTCTATTCCCAAGATTGAGGACGAGGAAAAGAGAAAGTTAGGCTTGTCTCACTACGTAACAGTTATACAAACCGCCGTAAAAATGCATTACCCCGATTATGTGGAGTTACAAGACATCTGTCAACCGGATGCTCTCCCGCCTGAGGGTCCAGAGGTGTTTTCTCATCGCATCTTCTGTTCGAGCATTTAGAGTAAGGAAAATAATGAGGAAGGATGAAAAAGGAAGGAAGAAAAAGTTGGAAGGAGGAAGGAAAAAAGAAGGAGGAGGAAGGTTCCGCGGTTGACAGATATCTGAGACGAAGTTATACGGTAGCAGAAGCGCATGTAATTGCGGCTGTGACAGGAGATTATTCGGCAATTTTAGCCATGGAGCGAGAATTTCCAGCTGAGTTAGGTGTCTTTGAAGGACCACTGAAGAGGAGACCGTATTCGTGTAGAGGAAGGTTTGCACTTCCTAAAAGTACTAAAACGTTTATGAAGGTCGCAAAAATCACAGAGAAATCTGCCATAGGGATTCGTTGGGGAGTGGTTTCAACCGAACAGGTTTGAATCAATATATTTTTTTTGTAGAATGGTTTCGAGTGTTTGAAGATTTTCTCTTTCTAAAAACCTCTTGAACTGTTTCTGAAGCTCTCGGGATTCATGAGATCTCGCTATGGGGATTTCTTGAGGAACACTCCCAGCTGCGCGAAAAACCCGTTTCCTGTGTACCGTTTCAAGTGAGCGTGTTCGAATAGCCAGGAACGCATGTAGAACGTATCCTGTGGTGGAGCAGGAGCAGGATATGGTTCGTTTAGCGCCGATCACGCCAACTTTGGATGCGCCGCGCACTGAGGGCCGCGCAGAGGTGATGGGATGGTGCAACTTGTGCGTAATGTCTGTTCACGCGAGCAAATGTGTCTATAAGGTTCAGGGAGGTCCATGGCGAGCCTGTGCACTTGTTTACAGTGTTTCCGTTTATGATGGAACATGTCCCTGTCAACGCTGCCAGATTCGTGCTCCGCCAATCGCTGACTCCGATAAAGGAGACCAACTGCTGGAAAACGTCTGATATGAACGATATGGTAGTCCTGTCGCTTGTCGAGAAAAAAACAGGTTGGCTCAGCGCCAAGCGCGACCGCGGACACGCCATATCATTGGCAGCGAACCAGAGTTTGAGTTGTACTGTTTAGTCACCAACGGACTTACGAGATAATGTCGACTTATTAATATTTGCAGTTATTTCGGATTAGTTTGATGAATGAAAGTTTTGTACTATTTTTTGCATATCCGAGTTCTCTACAAAGCAAGTTTCGTTGTACAGGACTCAGCACATTGACAATTTGCGCTGCTCGTTACTGGCTGCCGCACTCACTACGACCCCCCCTCTCCTGGCGGCCAAATACGACCCCCCTGTTGGGGATTCCCCAACCAACGATGTGCCCTGTCGGTAGCGGTGATTGGTAAGATGCCTACGGGAAACTCGTCCGAAATCGATTTACAAGTCACTGAGAACGGAGGCTTTTTCTTCGCGCAGGATTTTGACCGTTTCACTCCGTTCTTTCGCCATTTCCCCACTATATAGCGCCCTACTAGCATTTTAGGCTAAGTAGGGAACCATCGTGCAACTCCTTTAGGTGAGGACGAATTGATTTTAATTGGCGCGCTCGTCCGCAGTTACAGAAGCTACATAGTGAATGTCGTCATAATGTGGCAACCACCTTCTTTATGATCTCACGTACTTTGCTTATTTTATGCTGATAATATGTTCTAATAGGTTCTCCCTGGGAACATGAGTGCTTAACAAAATGCTTGATAGCCAAGTTTTACAAATGTTGTTGGATACAAACGTATTTGGGAGATTGGAGAGTTCAAGGCTGTGTTCACGCAAAAGATTAGATCTATTCCCGCAGTTCCTGAATCCTGCGGTTCTTCATTTCGTCAGTTCTTCAGCTTAAAGCGCAGACGATGAAAACCGTCGCATACTCGCTTCAGCAACTGGCAGAGAGCGGGTTTTTCGCCACTCGTACTATGTATGGGACACTTACACTGCCTGACACGCCCCTTCATCCTCTACGAACTAGAGTATATCCTCAAAACACAAGCACTTTCATTTTGACAGCCCCGCCTTGCACATCCCAGGGATTTCGAGTATATGTATGCGTCTTTTAGCGAATGGTGGCGGAGGGCTAATCCTATATCGATGGGCGTTTTGGTCCAAAAGTTCTTCGGTTTCCGGTTGTCTCAATTTGCCACAAAGTTTTAGTATGTTACGATGTCACAATCTTTTGAGTTTTGTAGAATTCCAAAAAGCTTCTGTCGGCATGGAATTTTGCTATGCTGGCACATTTCAGCCTCTACACTGCTGTTGCCAAAGAGTAATTGCTTCAGGATTTTCTGTACAGGCCAGCGCCGAATACAGGTCAGCACCGAACTTATCCCGCAAGGTTCTGGATTCGATGGAGGTTAGCTAAGTTCATACTAGCTTTATGAATCGCCTTTTAAGAGTGTGTTGATCAAAACCGTTTGCAGGGTTTCAAAGGCGACAATTCAACAAGTGGAAGCCCAGCGGTTCCGAGAGAGTTTCGAACGAAAGGGCGCCGGATTCGTCGATGTCGCATATGCAAGCCGCTTTATGGACTATACACGTCTCTCATCGCAATGAAATTTCTCTCGGTAAGAACTCCCCAGGTACCCACCTCTCCCACTCGGACACATGCAACAAATTAGTGCTTCCAAAACGGCTAGTACCTCAGTGTGAAGTGGAAGGATGTGGTTACGTCGCTCGAACTCCTGCCGCTTACTATAAACACATGAGAAATAAGCATCCAGTAAAAGAGAAAATTGGGAACTGTACCACAAGATGTCCGCTATGCCAAGCACCGTTTAGCGATCCAGAAGATCTCGTTGAACACTGTCGAACGGAACATGGAGACGAAAACTGTGTAAGTGGAGATGCGTACGTTCCAGAACGTGGAAGAATGTGAAGTTGGTTGTTTAGAATTCGTATTCCAAAGCCCATGCAGCTTTCATTTCCTAACTTATACGAGGATTTTTTCAAAATAATTTTACTGCTCAAAATCAAATACTATAATGAACCACGTTGCAGGGTATACGGAGTGCATCATATTTCAAACATATTTTCTCCTCTTTCAGAGCGCTTAGGCACGTTTATGACTTTCGTTGATGCCTAGTGCACTGCGCGTTGCTAAGGTCGTCATCCGACGCTCTACTCACTTACAACAGCGCTCAGCAAGCTATAGATCGCTGAACGCGTAGCCGCCAGATGACCGGCGACGATCGACTCTCCTCTACGAAGGCTCGTTGGGCAATGCTGCCTAGTCAGACTGGTATCGACTGGCACAGGCCATTTGCGGCTGTCTTTCGCGTCTATAACTTCAGACGCCTGCATTGCAGTTGTGCTGCGTCGACTGTTCGTGCTACAGCGCTGTCAACGCGCGTCATGCGAATTCTGAACACTCCTTTTATCGCTGCATGGGAAGGGCGTAAAGAACATTGCAAACCATTCACACGTACTAGCTTCCTCTCCGCCGTTTGATGACCGCTTGTTCCGCTTCCTCCCAGGTACGCTGTGTCCTCTCAGCCACAATAGCGCCCTCTCCCGTGACTGTTTATGGGAACAATGCTTGATAAGAAGCAGAAAGTAGCACAGTGCAATGTTGGCTCTTATGTTAGAGTGCGCCACCTCGCGATTAGAGTGCGCGCACCTCGCGGCTGCTTCCAACGCGGAAAGTCAACGACTGGCATTAAAGGCTGCGTTTATACTTTGCGGCAGCGTAGAGTAGCGCAGCGTAGCGTAGCGTAGCGCTTCCAGCTACGCCAGCGGCAGTGCCGCGGAGAGGATGGATATAGATCTAGCGTTCCCAGCGTCACCAGCGTAATGCTAGCGTACGTTAGCGTACTCAACGGACTGCGCCATGGAAAGGCTGCGTTTATACTTTGCGGCAGCGTAGCGAGTTAGCCCAGCGTAGCGTAGCGCTTCCAGCGTACGCCAGCGGCAGTGCCGGGGAGAGGATGCATATCGATCTAGCGTTCCCAGCGTCACCAGCGTAACGCTAGCGTACGCCAGCGTTTCGCCAGCGTTTTGCTAGCGTTTGCAGCGGCAGGGGAGTAGAGACTATGGGAGAGCTGGAGGGTACAAAACACATCGATTGCGCGTCTCTCACTCGCCCTCAGTCTCTACAATACACATCGATTGCGCGTCTCTGACGGCCACATAGTCTCTACAATACACATCGATTGCGCGTCTCTGACGGCCACATAGTCTCTACAATACACATCGATTGCGCGTCTCTTACAGGCCACATAGTCTCTACTTCCTGCCGCTGCAAACGCCAGCACGCTGGCGAACGCTGGGCGTAATAGCGCGTGACACTGGTGACGCTGGGAACGCTAGATCGATATCCATCCTCTCCCCGGCACTGCCGCTGGCGTACGCTGGAGGCGCTACGCTGCCGCAGAGTATAAACGCAGCCGAAAGAGCGTGATAGCAGCGACAAAACTGCCCATGATCATATCGCGAAGTATGAACATATTCCTAAGGAAAGGATAAGCGGGTAAGACCCTATGTATAGGGCAGATTTCAAAAAATCCAATACCTGGTGTTGCGGAACCAAGTTGTAATCCTGTTACAGTGGCAGCGCAATCGACGTATTTAAATGACCCGCCGACCCTTTCGCTGTGAGGCAAATTAGTAAAAGTGTTGTTTGCTTCTGCGGCTTCAATTCTCTCAGTATTCTTTAAATATGTGGAGTCATTTACTGCAAACTCACTAGCGCGTATTATTTTTGATCTTATAGAAATGGAAGGAGTCACTTGCGAGAACTCACTGTACTGCTTGGATAATAAATCAGCAACATCGCTCCTCTTCTTACTGTATCATGTACTATCGATGTAGCAGGTATGATACGTTCAATGAGCGCATTACTTTGTTGCGTCATTCCAGTCGTTTTTTAGGCTTTTGTTTTGCGACATATCTTTAGCATAGTTTGTTGCGTATTAGATGTACCTAGTCGCTATCAGTCTTGTTCGCTGCGAATGCTGTGCGTGTCAGGGAGGCTTTGGCGCGCGCAGTCCCGTTCTTCACTAGTCTCGCTCGCTCGCTTCAAGAGCCAATGGAGAAGGGACTGGCGCTGCGTCAAATCTAGTCACCCTGACACTCCAGGTTCCACAGCGAACAAGTCTGTCTCTTTTGGTACACGACGGCCAGGGGTTGTCTGATGGTCGCTTTCACAGAGTGCTAAGTTGTATGCCTTGTTTGGGAATTTGTTTAGAGGTAACGGAGGATGTCATTTCCGTTAAGTTCACTATAAAAAACATCCCAGCAAGGAGCCCCAAGCTACGCATTATATTCGTTGAATTTCTTAGGCGCCGTTGGTAGTCTGGGACTCGGTGCGAGAGAAACGGCATTTCGAGTGTTTTGGCGAATCAGTATTTTGAGAAGGCATATGTGTCGATGCTCTTAAACATCGATTCACTCAAAATGTCAAAACGCTGATTTTCTCAAAAGGCTGAATCGATGCCTATATTTTCCTTTCCTCTGCAAATGGCTTTTCGCTTAAACTCCGACTCACTCAAAACTCCGTTTCGTTCGAATCACCGATTCTCCTAGAAAGCCAGCTCGCCATGCCCAGTATTCGAGTAAAGCGAGAGCCGGAGAAGCAGTGATAGGTGAAAGGAATTTGGTACGAATTACTTCCGCTGGTTTCATTCCTTTCGAGTCAATGAAAACGCTTTTCGTCTCGTCTCCAACTTGCAAGTTATTTGGTTGAGCGGTGTCATGGGGTGCTCTGCTCCTGTCTAGTCTTTTCCGCCTTTTTGTGAGTCTCGAACTGGACCATAACGCGAACTTAATTTGGAAGAGAATCGTTGCAGGTGTGAGCCGGGGACAACATCCTCAGGTGTTCTCTCCTGCACCTCATTTTTGAAGGTACGACAAAATTATCTATTCTCGCTCAGAGATTGGAATCCAGCTTATGTTTTTTTCAGGAGTTCGTCTATTTAGACGGCGCCATTCTCGTCAAGTACTGCACGCGTCATATTAATCACCCACTCAGCACTCGTGATCTTCCCCTTTCAGACACCGACAAAGACATTATTGCGGGTTATTTGCGGCAGGATATAGACGAATATGTCCTTCTGGACAAAATTCGAAAAAAATATCCTGATCCTCAAATAAGACTTCACTGGATTTGTAGCGACGATATCAGGAATATTTCGGAAACCTTCCACTACGAAGAAAAGCTGGAAGCGAGAATCGTCGCTCCTCCTGAAATCAGGTCCTTTATTGAAATTTTCAGAATTAACAGAAATAGAGAAACAATGTCTCCACTACCACTAAGCTAAAGTGTAGTAAAACCTGATTGCAAGAAATGCATGTTTCAATACGAATAGAACACGAAGTATAATAGTATACGAGCATTGAGTTCGCGGCCGGAAAGACTGTAATACATTAGCTGTCGGAGGTATGTAAGTGGCACGGATACGAGGAGCATGTGACATGTGTGGGGGCCTGCCCCATCACCTGGGCCTCCGCCCATTCGCTTTTCAGAAGGCGGCCACACAACCAACGAATAATGGGTAAACTGGCGGTAATGGCCTTGGAGAGGTTGTGCGAAGAACTTCCTTCAAAGAACTGGTTTTCACTTTGTTAAAGGTGCTGTGCCTCCCGAGATTTCGAGCTGAAAAACTTTCTTCAATGACTTGAATTTTCGACGTGGTCGTCTTCCTCTGGGATCGGGTTCCACCGTTCGTCTCTCCAGCTGTCACTGTCCTTAACATCATCTGCACCGAATTAATGTACCTGAAAAACGGTTTGCTCGCCCCGCTCCTTCCCTATTTGTGCTCGTGCTCTGAGCAGAAGCCCTCCCTTCCATTTCGGTTCGATTTTCACAAAGATCCTCCTCGAAGGTTATCAGCACCGACGAAGTTAAGTAATCAACACGAAATGCATCAGAGAACCAACTGGAACGCAGTGGTGAAATGCAGCTACACTGACTTACCAACTTGAAGCCAGAAATTGCGAAGAACTCGTCTGAACGCCGGTAAAGTCTCACAGACTCATAGGGACCCCGTATAAAGCGCTGACTATTCTTTTTCTTTTCACTTCACTATTACTATTAGTCATTTGGCACCTGGAAATGCTCCCCTACCCACGCCTTTCTATCGCGAAATGTGCTTTTAAGATATATGGTTGAGACGGCAGGCGAATTTTTATCGAATGGAAGTAAGATATGATCTGCTAATTTCAAACACTTGTCATTTCAGCTCGATTGGCCAAGCGATATGCAACCCTACTTTCGACGAGAATCCGATTCCTGCAACAGCGTTACTGGAGGAGTCATCCAATTGTGAGGATAACTACGATGATGGCGTCTCGCTTGGCGTACGTTCAATGAGCTCCGAAGTCCCAGCTGAATCATTGCTTGGATGCCCTTCTTGCATTAAGTTAACTGAAAAGGTGCGTGAAGCAGAATTATATTAGAATTCCTGTTCGCTGCGGACACTGGGCGTGTAAGGGGGGAGGGGCTGAGTGGACGCAGTCAGTTTTTCACCACTTTCGATTTCCTGCCTGATCCCATGTTTGGTGGAGAATGGGCTGGCTGTGCGTCAGACCCGCCTTCCCTGACACGCCCTAATATCTGCAGTGAACAAGATTAATTTGCTGAAAATGAGTTTTCAGGTTGCTGAACTTGAGGCTCTTGTACGGGAACTCAGTGATAAAATGAACGAGAGAGATGAACAGCAGTTATTCAGCAGCGTTGTGAAAGTGGAGAGGACGTGACCTTGAAAGCTTACTTGTCTTTCACTTGTAATTTCACGAAAGTCAGTGGAACTATGGCTGGTAGCGTGCGAAAAACGCAAGCGAACCCTGTTTGAGAAGAGAGAAGGGGGATTATACTCTATAAAACAGGGTGATCCATTTGTTATACTCTATAGAACAGGGTGATTCATTTGTTCTTTATTCGTATGTACTTTTTTATGGATCTCCCCTTTT